ATACAAGGATAAACGGAGTACCGTTGGCGTCCCATTATTACAGAATATCTGTATTTCCACGTTCGAGCCGTACTACAGCGTTTGCTATATGCTGACAGAGAAGATACGGATGGCAGCGTACTGGGTCCAAGTGTTGACCGTGCTTTCCAGTGGCCAATACATGTGCATTCCATTAGGAGATCAGATGTCAGTGCTTCCAAAGACTAGACGTAAGATCACGCTGATGTCTTTAAGGATGGTGCGTGATGTAACAATTGAAGGCTGAGGTTGTTTGTTCCCTAATCCATCATACACCGGAGCTCGTGAATAACGGATTATCTGACAAGAATAGATAGATAGCAGTAATCGATCACCGTGCCAAGTAGCACTAACTGTATTTTAATTACTCCGTCGTACATCTGCGCATGAACGATGCTCAGGAACATTCTGGTTTGTACGGATTCTACAAAAGGTAGTCGTGTTTAGCGTACATGCAAAACGATAGTAACACCTAAAAGCTAAGCACTATGATGCGACTAATGCAAATGTTCATCTTATTCGGCTTCAGTAGTAACATCTTTAACGCCAACTATGCAATATAGGGTAGAAAACGGTGTTCCCTGAGGGCTACGGTGCACTTGCTAATACGAAGTTCCTCGGAGGGCATGAATTTGTTGTATACTACTTTGTGGTATATATACGACTGGAAGCACCTCAGGTTTTCTGACCTACACAACGATGGACTGTGCATCATGTGCAATAATTGCGTTGCTGGTCTGAGTAACCAACACCCATTAAGCATAATCCCGGCAGCATCGCTAGCATCTCGACTAATTGTCGCAGAAGCGGTATCATCTAATGACGTGTGTTCGTGAGTGATGGCCTAGAATGCCCAAGAATACGGCGGAAAATCTGTGAATTTGGCATGTTCGGCCTACGCACTAAGCGTAGCCAATACTGGAGATAGGACTGGAAGGGGAACACGGATCATGCGTCCAGTGGTCCTGAATGACGCACATGATCGCAAATGTGTTGGAGGTAATGAGCGTTAATGATCAACTCTTTCTCACCGTAGATGGCCGCATACTGCTTATTAATTCTACTCAGCATTTTGACCACCATGGTCGGGTAGTAGGAGCACCACGCTTTACTGGAAAGTACGTAAGCTGTAACAGACAGATTAATGCAATACTGGTACACGTGTTTTTGGCAAAATACTTTGTAGCACAATTGGCCCAAGGTAGCACAAGTAGTCGGAAGACAATGACCTTCCAGCTAACAAAATTCACAAGGGTGCGACATTTTCTAGGAAATTCCGGAGTCAAACAAGCGGTGCACAGCCTCAAGCGCTTGTTGATTCGACGGATGGCTTTTGATGGCAATCGGATTTTTCCGTTAATAGGACCAAAACGCCGCATAGTGAAAGTCAGTTTCGTAACCCCCAGCGACGCCATGCGGATGTAGTCGATGGGGAAACATGATATCATGTCCATATCGAGGGTTTCGAAAGGTGAATCACCTAAGCGAAACACACATTAGCGCCGGGAACTTAACTCTTCTTTTGTCCTTGGGATATCCTCCATTGAAACCGGGAAAGTCATCTGCCTAGCTTGTTGTAAGCATACAACATGAGAAGTTGAGACGAAAGGTCAACTTACACCTACACTTTTTGCATGAAATATATCCCGAACGGTGCTTTATCTGCTTCCGACGGGACCTTGATGACGCATCAAAAACAGCGCACTTCAGGTTTAGTTAGACGTGTGGAGCGCCAGCATGAATGAACACGCCATTCTGAAGACGCTGTATGGTCGGCTACGAAAAATGATGTAGGTCTACTGGCACGCTGCGCTCACTGTGGATTCCGACGACAGACGTGTCTGACTGCGGTTTCATCACCCGGGAAAGTATGGGCCATGACTGTAGATGGGAACTGCGGAAAAGTGACATCCCATCGGTATGCAATCACTGCAGTAGCTTTTGCGGTGTTGGAACACTAGTTTGCGGGAAAATGTGTCGCAATCCCGCTTATAGTCCTACGTGCAGTGCCGTCCACCCTGGATGAAGCGTTCGGGGCAGTGCCAAGGTGTGTGCACGTGCGAGAAGATGCCGGTAACTCGGGAAGCAAAGGCCGAAAATGATGTAATAGCATATTAAGCTGCGTTACCGAGAAGTTCCCTGCTAGCACGAAAGTCCCGCGACAGTCCCTAAGCGTCTCGTGACAATCCCTGAGAGTCCTTTGACAGTCCACTGAAAGTCCAAAAAAGCCACAACGGAACATGTTTGGGTGTGTCACGGAACTGCCGGATGACATTTCCGCAACCCCTCCCCCCCAATGATTTTTGCCGGGTCGCACCGAAGGTTCGCTTTAAATGTGCTACTACCGCTCTAATGCTGCACCCGTGCTCGCTGTAAACGTAGAAGCCATACATTTCCCCATTGATGTAACTTCATGGCGCTGGGAAAGAAACCAACAACCCTTCCAGATTTGTTCCAACGGGTGCCTACGCTCTTCCCCCCCCCATTTCGCGGCTTCTCCTGGACAACCCGGACGCGGCGGACCAAGCGTTACAGAACGGAAAAATGACTAAAGTGAGAGTAATAAAAAGGTAAAAGACAACCTTGGTAATGCACCGATTGACGCGTCAGGAAACCTCGAATTACCATTTTTAAGAGAAATGCCAGATATGCGCCACACTGCTGGCTTCTAACATACCACTCCTAGCAACGCAATAACACAGACGCTTTTTGCGGTGTCGTAGAAACGCAAGCAATGCATAAAAGTGGAAATAATAACAAAAGTTATACAGCATTATCCAAATCCGATGCGCAATCTTTCTGTCCGCAATTTCCTTCAGCCCTACCAGCAACACGCTGGATCCACGCTTGATTTTGTGCTTTATGACACATTCCGTAGCTCCGGGGAAGGACTTGAGGGGTAGCATCTGTAGAGGTTATCGGGAAGATTGTTTCAGTGACTTACCCGCAACGCGGCGAGCAAACGGCGTTCCTGATAGGCAGTTTTTGTTGTGTACGCCACGCCATTTAACCTGACGGGCCAGCCTGCCTATCATAGAGGAAACTAGCTTGTTTCTCGTTGCATGCCTTAGGTTATAATCACCAATTTGTGATAAACAGTTCCCCTGGCATGAAGCAAGGGGTATAAATGGACTGGTACCATTTTCGTCATACGTTAAGCTCGCTGAGTTGCCTGTTCCGACTTAATAACGATTCAACTGAATACATGGGAAGCGTCACCGGACAAACCTTCTCCGTCTATTTGCCTTTAACCCGTAGCGCAAGGTGCCTAGTGTAAGCTTTAGGGCACCATAAGCTTCCCTTAGGCGGGTAAGTTCATGTGCCTTGCTCCGTAATTCAGCTACATCGGTATATCATATTTAGTAAGCACGATGCTAACCTCGCATTGCGTCAACGGCAGCTTTAGTCTCCCTCAAAAGGGCTGCATCTGGAGGCATACTTGATTTTATTTGTACAGAGCTAAGACAGATGAATTGGACTGTGCAACTACCTGGTAACCACGACAGAAATTGTTAGAGCCATGTTTTCTTGGTTTGGTGAGAAAAATGCATCCTCCTCTAGGTCCAGCGGAGGTGGTGCAGTGGAGTAGGGATATCTATGACGTACTTACGGTCCAGCTTGCGTGCTTTACTCGGAGGAGATTCGCACTGCGGTACAACCTTGGGCCGCCTATAGAAAATAGATTGATAAACCTATCACTTACATTTTCCGTTTGCCTTCACGTTCCATAGGGTAGGTTGCGTCGCTTGCTAGCAATTAGGAAAATTCCAGCAACTCGCTTTCTTACCTCTTTTAAAACGCATAGTTGTCTACTTCGGTTAGTCCGTAGTTGCATCTCGCTTACCAGCTGCTCTGTGAGTGCCTACGAAGCACTTTGTCTAGGTTGCTGGAGCTGCTAGATGCCATATGAGTAAACCTTCCAACTCCTTGGAAGATACCTTTGACCATTACACTTCGTCATCGTTCACCATTCAGGAAGTTTGGGCCACGCCAACTGAGGCAACCTCGAACTCGAGGACACAGAACATCTGTATAAAAAGTAGTTTGTAGAGAACACAAGTAAATCTAACGGAATAAGAAACGAAGTACTTGCAAGTATGTATACTTGGGTAAAACAATGTGCAATTAACGCGTGGTAGAGGAACATATTTACAGTTAATTTTGTTTGCTCTGAGCAATTTCTGCACAGTAGACCTACCGGTGCACTTGTAAATTCCTAAATCCTTGAAGGGAATAAATTATTCAAACAGAGCTTCGTACTGTACATAAGATACCACAGAAACCTGCGAATGCTTTATGTCCAGTAAAAAGCTGGCGCACGGCCGATAATTACGGCGTTGTTAGGGAACATGGTGGTCACCCGTGCACCGCTTTAATTGATAACTGTTCCGTTGTCACAACCTCTCGTGGCCGAAAATGATGCAGCGTCATCAGCGTAATCGAACGTTTCGGTCGCTCTAAAGCAAACTCAGTAATACGCCGAAAATGCTGGGACGTCGGCCTATTTGAGCCATGTATGATTGTTCTCATCTTACTTAAATAATTCTCAAACGGTAAGGCGGAAAAATTATCTAGCGGATCAAAGTCCCGTAGGTCATCACACAAGTGAATGAGGTTATGCACACTGCACACCAACTCGCGTTCTTCGTACAGCGCTGCAAGCTGCTCCACACACCTGGGCAGCATAGTTTCCACAAGGCTGAGGTAGTAGCATGACCACTTGCTGATACGAAGGACGTAGGTCGCTAAACATAGTTTGACAAAATGTTGATATACAGCGGGTCTATAATGCATCGTAGCACCACTGGAGCAAGATAAAGAAGCAAATGACGACACCCCATTGCTTTCCAATGATCCACATCCCAAAAACGTACGGCACCGGCGTGGGAACTCACAAGTTAGGGATCGAACACAGCGACAAGTGGTCATTCAATTCAGGAATATTGCTCTCAAAAAACCTAATAGTACCATTTAGGGGACAAATGCGCCAAGGATTAATCCGACGCACTGCAACCAAAGAGGTAGCGTACGAACATAGTCCATAGGGAACAAAGCCACCATATGAGTGGACAACAGCTCGAAAGCTGAATCACCAATGTGGTACACTGGCGGGCATTTGGAAAGAACATCCATGTTCTTTTTGGGAATCGCATCAGGAGACAAAAGAACAGTCATGCAACAGGTTACCTACAATATGAATTGTGGTCCACATTGAGATTGCGCGTCGCAATCCAAACTCAAAACGGGCAATCCAAAATTCACCATCCAATCAGTGATTCACATTTGTGACAAGCGTTGCCCTCTGTGACCCAATAACCAACGCCGTTGAGCATTCGGCTATTATTCCAATGGTCGCTGGTTCGAGGCCAGCTATCTCCACCTGGCGCGATAAAATGACATCGAAAAGCGTCGTGGTTGTGCAGTGTTTTCGGGAGAAAATCCGACTTTGCATTTGCTTCGGCTACGGTTCTAGTGCTCACAGTGATCAAGGTTCACTTCAATGTGAATCGCGGTCCACATTGAGACTGCACGTCGCAATCCAATCAAACAACGTGTAATCGAAAATTGACGGTCCATTTTGTCAAGCACCGTGGTGATTGGCGTTGCCCGCCTTGACCCGGTAGACAAAGGGGCAGAGGTTGCGGATATTATTCCAGTGGTCGCGACTTTGAGGCGCGGCATTTCCACCTGGCGAGATGAAATAACATCGAACCGCGTCGTGGTCGTGCAGTGTTTTCACGCGGGTAACGCCCTTTTTCCAGCTGTTTCGGCTACGATCCTAGTGATCGCAGTGAGCAAGGTTCACTAAGTAGCCTTATATAAATTTGCATAGTAATTTTTTGCTGCAAGGTAGCCGGATGGTATCTTACCGGAACGACTGTAGTGACCTGGAGATTGCCCTGTTTGGCTGCCGCATGCTGCTTAAAATATTACAAAATCACAAAATTATATTTACTCGATATACACAGCAAATTAGCCGCTCGCCTGTTTGAACGTTGCTCGCGTTTGGTTGAGTTAACATAGCATCCGCCTTCGAACGGCGCGACGCTCGTCGGCTCCGCGGCCATCTTTGCTCTCCGCGCACGCGACCACACCTTTCCCCTAGTTAGCTATCTTCCGGTGCCTTATTTTTAGCACTAGATAGCGTTTCGCCCCACTTAATAAAGTTTTCCTAGCGTTACTTTTGGTGTTCTCCACTCATCGGCGTTTGACCTTATATTCGCGTATTGGTTCTAAAGCGTAACGATCCTGCTTCTCGCTTTATTGGTGACCCCGACTTTTGGTCATTATCCGGTGAGTTTTCGCTAACCTTTCTTTTCAGATTTGGCCACATATTTTTCCGCTAACCCGTCTGATTTTTACTTTTCATTTTCCGGTTTAATCTCGCTGGCTCGCTATTTTGCTCACTATGGAAACTGATAGCGTAGATTCTGATGTTCAGACCGGCACAGTTACGCTTCCTATCGCATCTTTTCGCGAGACTAATCCTAATTCTTGGTTTGGTCAGCTAGAGTCGCAATTTTCTTTGCATGGTATTAGGTCCGATAAGACCAAGTTACACCTTGTCGTTTCCGCGCTTCCGCTAAATGTCATCGATGACATTGATGACATCCTAGATCTTCCTGACGACCAAAAGATTTACGATGCAGTCAAGACAGCTGTTCTGAGAAGAACAGGCTTATCCGATCGACAACGAGTTACGAAACTCCTCAACAAAACCGATCTTGGCGATCTTAAGCCGTCTTATCTGTTTCGAAAAATGCTGAGCCAAGCTAAACCCACTTCGATAGATGATTTTTTTCTTCGGGAAATGTGGTTGCAACGACTTCCTCGCGAGATGTTACACATCGTCTGCGCTAGTGAGGATGCACCTTTATCCAAACGGGCGGATACTGCCGACCGAAGTTGGGAGTCGTAAGGCCAGATTTCGCAGGTCCAGACGAAACCGGACGACGATATCGCCACGCTTAAATCCCAGATGTCAACATTGACTCGACAATTCGCAGACTTTTCAACCTCCGGACATGACCGCTGTAAATGCTCTAGGAGCCGTTCGCGTTCACGTTCGAACTCTCATTCGCGATCACCGGATAGAAACGGTTACTGCTGGTACCACGAACGATTCGGCCAGTAAGCTAAATCATGTCGCCCACCCTGTTCCTTCAAACGACAGCAGCAGGGAAACGGACGGACCAGCACGTAGGGGCGACGGACGTAGCTGGTAAACGCAGTCGCCTTTTCTTCATCACCGATCGTAGAACCGGAGTTCGCTATCTCGTCGATACTTGCGCAGAAGTCAGTGTTCTCCCACGTGATCCAAACGATCCGACCGAAAAGGTGACTAGCTCATTGCGCGCAGCTAACGGGACCATTACCCGCGTATATGGTCAACGCTCGCGTACGCTAAATCTCAGCCTCCGACGCGCTTTCAAATGGATATTCCTCGTTGCGGATGTTCAAACGCCTATCCTTGGTCTCGACTTCTTACGTCATTACGACCTACTCGTCGACGTTAAGCGACACCGTCTAGTCGACCGCCTTACGAATCTCGCAGTCATTGGGACTTTGACCGACACCGCGTCAATCAGTCCCGTGTACGCGACTCAACTTAGTTCACCCGTCGGGCAAACGCTGCTCGATAGTTTTCCGCAGGCCTTCCGTCCTGCCGTCCCGTTGCCTTCCGCAACCGACGCCGCGACACATCACATCGTTACGAAAGGTCCGCCTGTGTTCGCAAAAGCCAGGCGCATGACCCCCGACAAGCTCAAAATTGCACGCTCCGAATTCGAGCACATGCTAGACTTAGGCATTATTCGCCCGTCTAAGAGCCCGTGGGCGTCGCCTCTACACATGGTGCCTAAAAAGTCAGGAGACTGGCGTCCATGTGGCGACTATCGCGCTCTCAATAACGCTACCGTCCCCGACCGCTATCCGATTCCGCACATTCAGGACATCACGGCTAGCCTACGTGGCGCCCGTGTGTTCTCGAAGATCGATCTGGTTCGCGCTTACCACCAGATCCCTGTAGCCGAGGATGACATTCCGAAAACCGCAGTCATCACGCCTTTCGGACTTTTCGAATTCTTGCGAATGCCCTTCGGTCTTCGCAACGCAGCTCAGACTTTTCAACGCTTCATAGACTCTGTCACGAGAGGTCTCGACTTTGTTTATCCTTATATAGACGACATCTTAGTAGCTAGTTCTTCCAAAGAACAGCACGCGGAGCACCTCAAGTTGCTTTTCGAGAGGTTAGCCTCTAATAGCATTACTGTCAACGCTGACAAATGCATCTTTCAGCAACCATCTATCGAATTTCTTGGTCATCGAATTGACCAGCATGGCATACGGCCGCTCGAAGACCGAGTCAGCGCTATTAAGGACTTTCCCGTTCCGACTACTTTGGCCGCCATCCGCCGTTTTAGTGGGATGATCAACTACTACCGTCGATTTCTGCCACGTTGTGCCGACTTGCTCAGTCCATTGACCGACTTACTTCGTGGACGCAAGAACGGCAACGTCGAGTTGACGCCCGCTGCAACCGAAGCCTTCAAGGCCTGCAAAGAGGCCTTGGCTGAAGCCGTTATGCTTCACCATTTCGACCCCAAAGCTCCACTCAGCGTTGCAGTCGATGCATCGGACACCGCCATTGGCGCCGTCATGCAGCAATTCACTGAAGGATGCTGGAAACCACTCGCTTTCTACTCCCGACGCTTACAACCGGCAGAAGTCAAGTACAGCACGTTCAGCCGCGAACTGCTGGCAGTTTATTCTACCGTCCGACATTTCAGGCACGTCTTAGAAGGTAATTCGTTCGTTATCTTCACCGATCATAAGCCGCTTATTTACGCCTTTCGAAATCAATCAGCTCGACACTCACCACGTGAGGTTCGTCAGCTGGATTTCGTGGCTCAATTTTCTACTGACCTCCGACACATTTCAGGTCAGAATAACGTCGTTGCTGACGCTCTTTCGCGCGTCTCCGCAATCCACACCGCTGGCCAGGCAATCGACTTATCTGCCATGGCTACCGCGCAACTAACCGACACTGACTGTCAGAACGTCAAACAAGATTCTTCGCTACGAATCACATCGCATCCACTGCCGTCATCTGATGGCACAATCTTGTGCGATACTTCTACTGGACGACCTCGACCCGTCGTTCCAGAAACCTTTCGACGTCTAGTTTTCGACACACTTCATAACATCGCTCATCCAGGCATCCGAGCCACGATCAAGCTCATATCCGAGAGATACGTTTGGCTCGGAATGCAACGCGATCTTAAGCGCTGGGCACGCGGTTGTCTAACGTGTCAGCAGGCCAAGATACAGCGGCACGTGTCCGCTCCGCTTGGTCGTTTTCCGCAAGTCTCAGCTCGCTTCGCCCATGTCCATCTCGACATAGTTGGACCCTTGGCACCATCCAGAGGAATGGTCTACATTCTGACCATGATCGACCGATACACCCGTTGGCCCGAGGCCGTACCTATACCCGACGTATCCGCGGACACCGTAACGCGCGCTTTCGTTGAGCGCTGGGTCGCTTCACATGGCTGTCCAGCCACCGTGACTACCGACCGCGGTCCGCAGTTCGAATCCTCGACCTTCAACGATCTTCTCAAAGTCCTCGGATGTCAACGCATCCGGACTACCGCCTATCACCCGCAATCCAACGGCATGGTGGAACGTTTCCACCGACAGCTGAAGGCCTCACTTAGTGCCGCTAATGCACTAAGCTGGACCGAAGCACTGCCTATGATACTACTTGGTATCCGATCAGCTCTTAAAGCTGATTTGCACACGTCCAGCGCCGAACTGGTATATGGACAACCTCTTCGACTACCTGGGGACTTCATTTCTGGAAACCCCAGAACACCCCGCTACGACGCGAATTACGCTCGGCAGTTAGCCACGAGCATGCGCCATATCAAAGTAACCGACGTGCGAGAACAACGACGTAAATCGTTCGTTCCACAAGATCTACTGCATTGCGCTTACGTTTTCCTTCGAGTCGATGGTCTACGCAGA